GTACATCCTTGATATATGGCCTATATCAAGGACCAAAGTGCCCAAAGTGACGGCCAGAAAAAAACAGTGCAAAAAGATAGGAAAATATATGCAGTACTGCTGAGAAAAGCCAATAATAATATTCCGATATGTAATTTATGCAAACTGACGCACCGCTTCACAAGCAAGTGTTTCGTATTCTTCGAATAATGCTGAATTTGGATCTTGGAGACGTTCATCAAATGCTGCATCATTACCTCCATTCGAAAGAATCGTGAAGACCACCAAAAAGAGTTTCTTTTGAATCTGTCTCTTATACACATCTAGATGTGTATAAGAGACAGGTATTAAATAGTCAACATGTATAATTCTACACTACAATTTAGTAATATGAATATTTAATTATTTATATTGCATAAAAAAAAAAGAAATACCTTTACATTGCAGTTTATTTATATTTTTTATTAATCTGATTTAAATGTTAGCAATTAGTAAAATAAATAAACAGTAAACAATCTAGCAGAGTTTTAATATAATAATGTAGCCTAATTTATTGTTTTACCTTTAGTAGCTAGTGAGTCAGAATATATGGTAAGTGTGCCTGTATTCTCTAATCCTTCCGTCATAGCCATCAACAAATCTTCAGATCCGAAAGCTGTTTCGGATTGTAAACCTATTTCCAAATACACGACGATACTCCCATTTTCAAAGCGTAGGGCTCTGCAACTTCTTAAATCATTCGCAATGTCATTGTTCGCTATACTATTTTCCACCTAGAAATATAATATACTTGTTATTTTTAACTTGGATTTGATATTATATAAATTGATGTTATTAACTAGTGTCATTATATAATAAAGTAATAATAATAATAATAATAATAATAATAATAATAATAATAATAATAATAATAATAATAACTAGACTTACTATGTCTATTTGAACAACAGAACATAGGGCTTTTCCCCATTGCTTTAATGAGAAATGAAGTTAAAATTGCAACAAAAAGAAAAGTCGTTAAAAGGTATAAAGTAAAAAAAAAAACAAACAAAAAAACACGGAAAACCGTTCTTGATGTCATTGTTTGCTATACTATTTTCCACCTAGAAATATATTATACTTGTTATTTTTAACTTGGATTTGATATTATATAAATTGATATTATTAACTAGTGTCATTATGTAATAAAAAATTAATAATAATAATAATAAGTAGACTTACTATGTCTATTTGACAACAAAACGTAGGGCTTTTCCCCATTGCTTTAATGAGAAATGAAGGTGAAATTGCAACAAAAAGAAAAGTCGTTAAAAGGTATAAAGTCAAAAAAAAAAATAATAATAAAAAAACCACGGAAAACCAACATAATTTTAATGAAGTAAAAAAAAAACAAAAAAAAAAACGAAAACCAAGTTCACTGCGACGTTATTAGTGAGACTTCAACTATGGCTGCAATGGTAATAGCGAGGTACATCGTGACCCATTACCATTACGCGCTATATGGTCTGACCTTGCATAGAAACGTGCATTTTCAGTTCATAGAGATGCATATCACGGTAGTTTTGAGTTTAACCTAGCTGTAACTGGTTTAAGCGCTTTAGAAAACGCAAATTGCGTTTTAATAATTTAATCAACTGTCATCAAAAAATTTAAATGATCTACATATCCACACCCACAATCTTTTATAGAAAGTTACATTTACACTCATTGAAAACGTTTTATAGATATTCACGTCTGGGATCTCAAAACTTTGAATGACCCTCTAATGTACACTCGCCAACACAAAATGCTATCTTCATTGTAACTTGGTTAAACTTTCCCGAAAGTTTCATTCAGATCAGTTGATCTGTTTTCGAAATATGTTGTCTGGGATGTTTTCCTTTCAATGGTCCTCATATCTACACCCTACTCCAGATCGTCACAAAAAATTAATCATTTCATTACTCGATCTTGACAAACTGTTATACAAGGTTTAAATTATACCCATTGATTTTTTTAAAGGAGATAATTAAGTCTGGATCCTCAAAAATTGAAATGACCCTCCATTTACACCCTTGACAGATTCGTCGCCAGCACATAATAATTTCTTCATTGTAACTTGTTTAAGCTTTTTCCAAATTTTTCACTGCGATCAGTTGATCCGTTTTCGAAATATGTATTCAGGGACGTTTTCCTTTAACTGGTCCTTTGATCCACACCATACTGCGATCATCACAAAAATTTAATCATTTTTTTACAAGACCTTTACAAAGTATTATAGAATGATTCATTTTGACCCATTGGTTTTTTTTCTAAAGAGATATTTAGGTCTGGGTCCTGAAAAATGTACACCCTTCGAATATTTTCCTTGTAACTTGATTAAACTTTCCCGTAATTTTTATTCAGATCAACTGACTGGTTTTTGAAATATCTGGTGTAAGACTGTTTGACCTTAAATCATTTTAATTGGTCCTTACACGCACACCCCTCCGTTGATTGACACTAAATATTAGGAGGTACATCCTTGATATATGGCCTATATCAAGGACCAAAGTGCCCAAAGTGACGGCCAGAAAAAAACAGTGCAAAAAGATAGGAAAATATATGCAGTACTGCTGAGAAAAGCCAATAATAATATTCCGATATGTAATTTATGCAAACTGACGCACCGCTTCACAAGCAAGTGTTTCGTATTCTTCGAATAATGCTGAATTTGGATCTTGGAGACGTTCATCAAATGCTGCATCATTACCTCCATTCGAAAGAATCGTGAAGACCACCAAAAAGAGTTTCTTTTGAATACCTATAGATTAAAACCAAAAGTACTCGTTTACTACTCCTCTTAAAATCACTTAACATCAACAGGACTATCTTCCTATTTCAGAGTAATAAAAAATGAAAATTTCATGTTGCTAAGAATAAACATTAGTGGTGATGTAAATATAAGAATTGGTAAGGGATGCTAAATAATTAAGGAGACATGTTAACGTATCAATATATATTACACTTATTATAATACTGCAATTAACGATGATGATTATGATGAAAGTATTTGAGGATAATTTTAAAGATGATGAAGATGATAATGATGAAGGTGCTGATGACGATGAGGACATTTTAATATTAATAACCAACTAAAAGTTGTTGAACGATTAAATAAGCATTTCAAATACCTAAACTGCGCACCACATATATATAATTACATCTAACTTTTAAACTTCAGTTTATACAATATTGATTATATTTAAAAAAAATAATATTAGGCCTATTATATAGGCTTGAAGTCATAATCTTTTCAATGAATAACTCAATTCAAACGTACATTTTATCATCAGTTCAAAAGCATTTCAAAAAGATTATACGTTAGCCGGTGACATTAATGTATCCACCGCCAAAACTCATGACGTTTAACAACTCCAGGATTTACTAAGAGTAACCAGGACAATAATTATAAATAAATTACCCATTGGTTATTCAACATACCTTCAGTTGTTGACAATATCGTAGTGGATGCTTTAGTTGACCGTATATCTAAGGGGAAGAAATGAATGGAATGCAAGTGAAAATAAAAGCTATTTCAACATTGTAGTACTTTATTACTAAACACTCAGGTGGCAAAACTAATGTTACGATAACGGCGATAGTACCGCAATTGAGCAATTCACTAACTTCAGTATATCTAAGAATAGAGGTGAAAAAGTGACTGAAACATAAAATTGTTCAGGCGGAAATAAAACACATGAAGATGGTACAAAAATACAAAATAAATAAAACCAAACAGAATACAATATTCAAATACCAAAAATGATCTATGTTGCTGTATGTCTATAATAACTGGAAACTAGAGTTGGAAAGAAGGATCAAACAAAAGAAACGTGGTTCCAGAAATTGATAGAACTACATGTGACGTCATTTAGAGGTGAATTGAATAAAAAAATAGAAACAACTGCCAAAAAAAAGTTTAGGGCAGAATAAATCATTAAAAAAAAAGAGGAGAATGAGGATATAAGACAAAAAAAATATAAAATCGGTAATAACAAGTAATTAAAATTATATTAATTAATTTATTTTTTTTTGCTAAAAACAGTTTCAATTTTTGCTAAAATCGAAGCAAAGAACTCAAATCAACAGTGTTCACATATAAGTTTAACATAAGATAATGTAAAACGAACTCCGACAAAAAGTGTTACCTGTACAAGACATCATGTTTGAACTAATTTTTGCAGATGAACGAATAGTTTGAACGAAATTCAAAATATTCAAACACAAAGGCTGGTATAAAATTTCTGCATTGACTAGCTATAGTACAAGTAAAATTATGTTTGACAAACACACCTTCAGTTGTTGGAAACATCGACGTCGATAAAACCGTTGATATCACAACTAAAAAATCATTAAGACAGTTAGTGATGTAAGGGACTTTACAATAAATATATTTTATAAAAATGATAGCATAGATAACATATTTCATGTTAACTATGGCGGTAATAGAAACAATAATGTAATAATTCGTTTAAGTTTACATAATTTACCTTTGAGTTCAGATGCATGTGTTGGTAATAGATTATTAATCATCATCGTCGTCGTCGTCGTCAGCATCATCATCATCATCATCATCATCATCATCATCATCATCATCATCATCATTATTATTATTAATTATTATTATTAATATTATTATTATTATTATTATTATTATTATTATTATTATTATTACTCATTATAAAGAAGTACGCATTGTTAGCAGCTCTCAATAACAATCCATTGTCTTAATACATTACATGATCTTTCTTGACGTAGGTATCTTTGATTTTGCCATAATGCTTGTGAACCACTTTTATATCACCTACTACTGTTACGATAATAATTATGTAAATATTGATAAATCTTGAAGAACATTAACCAAGTTTAAAATATTGTAATAAAACACGATGACTTGCATTATTTGCTTTGAGTATGCTACCTTTTTTTAAAAAAAATGGCTGTGCTAATTTAATAATGTTCAACAAAACACACCTTCAGTTGTTGGCAAGATCGAAGTAGATAATTCAGTGGACATCGTATCTACAATCACAATAATAAAGGAAGAAAAATTGATTATGGTTTTATAGACAACCGTCATTATCGTCATCATTTTCATAATCATCGTCATAGTCATTGTCACCATGTTTTAGTTTTTATAATGGTTGTGCAAAAAAAAAAATAAAAAAATAAAAAAATAACTAAAAAAATAATGTTTGACAGAACACACCTTCAGTTGTTGGCAACATAGAAGTAGATAATTCAGTGGGCATCGTATCTACAATCACAAAAATAAATAAATATTCATTAATTATTTTTCGTCATCAGCATATTCATAATCATCGTCATAGTCATCGTCATCATCTTGAGTATGTCATTATTTTTTTCAAAATCATTGTGCAAATTCAATAATGTTTGATAGAACACACTTTAAGTTGTTGGCAAGATCGATTAGAACTCAGTGAACATTATATCTACAATCACAATAATATACAAATATTTATTAATTATGGTTTTATAGAAACAATGGTCGTAATATTCATCATTTTTATAATTAATCATTATTTTTATTATTATCAAAATTGCCATTACCATTATGACACTATTATTAATATTATTATTATTATTATTATTATTATTATTATTATTATTATTACCTTGTTACAACTATACAGAGTATTGTAATGGCCTTAAAGTATTACCTATACAATTACGAAACCATTAACAGCAGCACAACATGCGAATAAAATATTCTTTTGTTATTCTATGTAACTTTTTGTGATAAACAAATCGTTATTCCGTCAACATGTTCATCAGCAGGTCCTTCCTGTATTTGACTACTGAACTAAAATATACTTGTCTTATATTATTTGATTCACTATTAAAAATTATGTTCATAAAGCAAACAAGAAAAAAAAAGATTCCATACCTAATATGCACATTCCGTCAATCAACATGTAGCCATCTTGACAATTACATTCATAACTCCCCACAGTATTGGAACATTCTTGGTTTCCCGCACATGATTCGTCCACACACACACACACACACACACACACACACACACACACACACACACACACACACACACACACACACACACACACACACACACACACACACACACACACACACACACACACACACACACACACACACACACACACACACACACACACACACACACACACACACACACACACACACACACACACACACACACACACACACACACACACACACACACACACACACACACACACACACACACACACACACACACACACACACACACACACACACACACACACACACACACACACACACACACACACACACACACACACACACACACACACACACACACACACACACACACACACACACACACACACACACACACACACACACACACACATATATATATATATATATATATATATATATATAAATGTATATGTAGATTGTTACTATAATAAACCACCTACCTATGCAGACATCTGCCGATTGCTGAAATCCACTATTACAATCTGCACAGCTAAATGAACCGTCACTTACAAACAGACATCGTGTAAAATTATTTGCAAAACAGTCATGTGTTCCTTCATTACATGGATCAACGACTATGGAGAAAGGTACAGAAGTATAGCAGTTATTAACCGTTAGTGCATCTATACATAAAATAATTTTAACAAATTATAATATACAGTTATATGAGTTTACCTGGTGTAGTAACCATGACTTTTTGAGCAGAAACTACGCTGTCAGGTGGAAGCAAGTCATCAACCAGTCCGTCCATAAATGCATTCACCACTTCGTCCATTGTTAGATTGGAATTTACAGAAAGATCCACTCGGAATGTAACTTGCATCAAATCACCAGATATTGCATATCTATCCACACTAACGTCCTGGATGTATTTCCATATGGCCGTTGAGTTCAATAAATTTAATACCTAATAAATTAATATGGATACTCAAGTGTTACCAGTTGGCATTTGTGAACGCTCTATTGAATAGAAATAGGCCTATGTTGTTTTTGTATTATTAACAACAGATTACTCACATCATCTGCAAGAGCATTCCTCGTTGTTACCGAATCTAAGATGTCGGGCGCAAAAGAAACTGATGTACCTTTGATATCTGTAAAGTTCGCTATCAACGATCTCGATACAGCCGCTTTAAATAAATGATACAAATTATAAAATTTAAGCTTTTCATGTATTATCATTTAAAGTAAAACCACTATCAAGAGGACATCTTAAAGAACAATAGCATCTTAATAATAGGGGCGACCCTGAATATTACGAGGACACTACCTGAAAATACGAAAATATCGCTTGATTATAAAAGTTTGTTTTCTTATCTTGTCTTGTATAAAATGCTTAAGATAAGAGCATTCATATTGATCTCTGTTATTACTTCCGCCAAGGAGTATATATTTTTACTGCTGTCTGTCAGTAGCAAGATTACGGAAAAACCAAGACATTGAGTGGAATGGTACAGACACTTTCAATTTTTGGCAGAAAGGATCAAAGGATAAAGTCAATGTCACGGAAGTTCGATATTTTACTCTCCAGCTTGAAAGAAATAATAATAATAATAATAATAATAATAATAATAATATATATATATAAGTATATATATATTAAAATAATAATATATATAAGTATATATAAGTATATATAAGTATATATATATATATATATATATATATATATGCCTACATAGACGTAATATACGATACGATGTAGAGATATTTTCTAAGCCGTCCTGTGGTAATGCTTTGATATATAAATTCTGAACGTTAAAGAAAAATCTTCGAACGTGGAAAAAGTTGTCCCAACAGAAGACACATTTATTATATATTTTATTGACTTTCGTATATAAGCTTTTATAGTATTAATGCGAGGGAATCACCTACCTAAACATTGGTTGTTAAACATAACAAAATTAGGTGCACAGACACATTCGTATCCGCCTATTGTGTTGTCACATATCTTGTTTTCCTCATCAGGACAAGGTATGGAAATAGAACATTCATCAATGTCTAGGAGTAAAGTATACAAGAAAATAAAGCTGTATTTATGGAAAGCGAATATTGAGTTAGAAAGAGTGACAGAATAGTTGGAATATACCTTGAACGATGAATGAAATATATAAAAAATAAAGAGGAAGTAGATGTAGGCCTCTACATTTTATTCAGATGGATAGAGCATGTCTTTCCATAAAGATTATTTTATTAATTTGATTTATGACATACCGTTGCAAACATAGCCGTTACCGCTGTATCCACTCTTACAATGGCATGTATAATTTCCTTGTACATCCGTGCACACTGCGTCCTTAGAACACTCATCCGTGTTTAGTGAACATTCATCAATGTCTGGAATAATATAGTCACTTATTATCGTCATTCTAAATTCATATCTTGCATGTCAAAAATCAGTTTTATTATTATTACATTTAGCATCATCATCATCATCATCATCATCATCATCATCATCATCAACATCATCCTCATTATAATAATAATAATAATAATAATAATAATAATAATAATAATAATAATAAAGAGTGGTGGTGAATTATACATACTTTTGCATTTTCCAATTGTTGCACTTCCACCTGCCTCGTTGAAATAACCTTCATTGCATAAACATACATACGATCCATCGGTGTTAGAGCACATGGCATTTTCGTCACAGTCATTTTCAACCATACATTCATTGACGTCTATCGAAAGAATATTAAAACAATACGGGAGTTTTTAATATTGATTACGTTAGTACCGTGGATAGTGTACGTCATGACCTGTTTTTATTTAGATGTAGTCCAGGCTTACCTATATTCTTATTTATATTTTAACCCTCATCTGATTGTATGCACACTAACTTCATGATGTGCAAAATGAAATACTATACCAACAGTGTAAATACAACTACAGTACTCTAAACATATTATATTATGGCTATTTATTATTTTCTATAGGCCCACCTATGTATTCATTATTGTAATGGTTAAAGACATACTGTATATCATGAGCCAAA